GGGTCCAGTTCAGGGCACTACCCCTCCTGCTTTTTCTTTTTATAGTTCCTTCATTTCAAATATTCTCTGATTGCAGAGAAAAGTTTGGATGTCACATGAAAGTTGAATCAATAACTCTGAGGGTAAGATGAGCTCTAATCTCAAAAATTTAGGGTTCGAAATTTAATAATTTTTTTAGGGTGGATGGCTTGCATTTAACGGGTATTCAATCTCTAAAAATACATGATTAATCTTTAGTCTCTAGACCAAGTTTATCCCCGGTTATACATGAACTAAGTTATTCATGAGATGTAAGTGGGTCTCTCAGTTGTTAATGGTGAATGATTGGCTAAGAAGAAAATTGAAGAGAAAATATACTGAAGGTGATCTTGATCGTGACTGAGATTCGGGGAGAGTCTGGAGATGACCCTAATCTCGAATTTCATTGTTGTCAAAGAACAGCAAAAGGTACACAAAAATATTTATAACCTCGAGAACAAAAAAAAAAGGGTATAAAAAATTATAAAATAAAAACTGGACAAATACTCCTAAATTATTGTATGCTTAAAATTGACCAGATCCTGCATTTTGTCATACGTAACGGCTAAAAGAAGCCAAAAACAAGTTTTATGTCCAAAACGTGGTCAGGAGGATTCTTTAATCCCAGATGTTGTCTTTGATATTAAGTTGCTTCATTCAGACAATTTGACAAATACAAAACAGATTTCTCAGTTTTGGCTCATAAAATGTTTTCTTGGTACAGCCTCATACTAAGTATAGGGTTCAAAAAGGGATCAATAGTTGGTTTCATCGCCGTTAATCGAGAGTGTTGAGAGAGATAGACTAAGTACATACTTGACATTATTCACGCAAAATGATTTTTGTTATATTTGAATCCGTAACTTCGGGATTGTTAATCTTGTATTCTTAATATTGCACCAAGCAATCTCCCATCTATTACCATGTAAATTGTAATATGTGTAACGGCCCGCTTAACACTTTAAAGCACATCACACATGCTTCACCAAGCAATTTACGACAAAATATATAGAAACTTGATATCTTCACCTCAACTCATCTATCTTGACCACAACCCTCATTAGTATTTTTGTTACCACATTATGAGCAAAAACCTGGTAAAAACTATCCAAAAGGACATCTTCCCAAACCGTTTCACGAAGAAAGCAAAGAGCAATGCTACACTCTAAGCAAATTTTGTACAACAAAATTGTATGGACGATTGGATTAATGGGTTTCACTGACGGTCACCGAACGTTTGATATTTCTTATTTTCACATTAGTTGTATACAATATTTGGTATACTCATTTGGATGCACGATTTTATTAAAAAGCAAATCAAATTATCAGAGATTTTCAATAATTTTGACACTAAAAATGATATTTAGTAACTACGTTTAGGAACTCTCCTCTCCCTACGGTCTACCAACTTTGTACTTACCGCTCCTAACATCGAATAACTACATACACCATAATCATCTCTACCATTATCATCATATTGTCCACCGCTACCAGCATCAGAATAAGATCGTACGAACACCAACAGTTGCATGTTTTTGGCCATGAGTGTCCCATAATATTAATTGGCTCATGGATTCTAGAGTTTTGTGCAAACATTATTAGTTGCTCTTGCTTCTGCTATAACACAGTATAAAGGGGACCATGATTGTAAATGCATTGGGCTTGTAATGGGCATTATTCAAGAAAACTCAACTCTCTGCAATCTTTGGGTGTTTGAAGCAAGGACATGCCTGATTGTCAAGTCAACTTGTTCATGTCAAATGAACTTTAAAATTTTTTTGGTTGTTGCTATTGCTTATGCTACATTCTTTCTTTTTTTAGAGTGGTACTAAACTACATAAATAATCTGGGGAGGGAGAAAATCTTGTTGGTAGCGTGGCTTGACCCTCGGTCAATTGTGCATTGGTGCAGGTCCCTTGCAAGGAGAGAACCCACGGGGTAAGGGTGGTGATCGAGTGGAGTCTTTTGAGCCTTGTCTTGAGTTGAATATCATATTCTTGAACTTGTCTAAATTTAATCAAATTCAGGTTATGTTAGTTTGAACGAGAAAAAACCGAGCCCAACTTGTATAGCTTGGGGTCCTCTAATCGCGTTACGTGCGAATTCGATTAGATAGTAGATACCCACAAAAGATTGGCATACTCCAGAGAGCAATTTGACACCCCCCAGGTAAATTGCCAGTTGATGCTTCAAGGCTAATGTAAATTCCTAAAGCAATAATAGGGGTCTAGAACAGCAATGCTTAGAATTGAAAACAAAATCACAGAAAATCTTCAATGTAATAACTGACAAGCAATTGTTTAAGTACCATTTGCATATGATTATGAGGAACCTTGAAGGTGATATCAAGTAGGCTTTACGGTTTCAAACTTTGCCTTAATAGGAAAATAATGGGGGAAACTTTTTTTATTGAAGAAATTCAAAGGCAAAATGATAATTAGTGGTGTAAATTAAGTGGAAACATGTGAATTGTCAGTAATTATGAGAACCACTATTAATTTGGAGTCGAGATTTGAATTTGCCTTAAAAATATATGAAAACAACGTAGTCCTTGTAATAATGCTGATAATTTTCATTTTTATCGTTATTTCAACTGTGGTTATATTATTAACTCAATACCCACCATGGAACCACCACCCAAAAAAAAAAAAAAAATTCTCTGTATCCTTGTATTGATACCACGAACTATAAAATTTCACAAAAGGACCAACTTGATGTTTTCGGGGAGAATTTATATTATTTTGAGCAGGAAAAATTATCATTGGAAAATGAGAGAATTTTACAACAGCCACAAAAAATATAGGCCAAATAAAATCATTTATTCCCTGAATATAACTTTTCTTTTTTGACATTTTAGTTCTTTGGTTTGATTGGTAAGCTTAGGTATCCAAATTAGATAGCTATTCATTTATAAATCATATTTAGAGTTAGAAAGAACTCAACATCATCAGTCCACCTCCTTTTTGAAGATCAAGAATAAATAAATAAATAAGCAAGTGGGACATGAATTAATTACATTCTTAATGTTGAAGCCAATGGTTTAGAGATTGATTACGAAGTTCTAACTGCAAAATAACTCAAAGTTTATCACAGGTTACTTAATAATATATCTCAAGAATTGCAAACTGTCAAGCAAGCATCTTTAGGTAAGTACATTGGGGATAAAAGTTAGGTATGTTAGTGAAACATGAGGATGATAAAATAATAAAATGTAAGAGCATTGATTTTTATAACCAAGAATCGTCTCAATTATACATTTTTTAAAACTCATAACGTAAACTTGGGATATGCACAATCACTTGTAAAATCGTTCGTAATGAGTCAACTGGAACATGTAATAACAAACGAGACATTTTCGTTTAAGTTATCTTTATCGGTTGGACTACGAATAAAATAGATTGTACTTTGATAAAATGTACCTGTAATTAAGATGGGCAACATCATCATCACGGAGTTTCTTACTGTTTGGGTTGGGTTGTTGAGCAAAGAGTCGGAAGAGAGAGAGTTTTGTGTAGTCGTACAAAGTCACAACTACTCTTAGGTAACCCAACAAAAGCATCAAATTTTGTTAGGATAGTCACAAACAAACAATAGTTTTGCTGTACTTCTACTAGGAAATGATTTCCATGGAGATTCAGAATCAAAGTGATTATGAAGTAAACTAAAGTGGTTTTATACCAACGATCAAAATAGTTTGGATGGAAAAGTTGCGTGGGTTACTATCTCCGAGTCAAACTCGAGTCTCACAAGAGACGTTGAATTTAATCATATGTACGTAGTTTACAGGTGATTGTGCAAATCTCGAATTTATATTGTAATCACGAGTTCGAAAAATACGTGTTTAAGACAATTCTCGATTCTTAAAAGCAAATAACAAAAAGTGGTTGAAGACCTAAACCGAAATTAGAACTATAAAAAACAACTAGAAAATCACCTATTATACCTTCTACCGTCAAAAACATTTATAAATCACATGTCAGGAGAGCCCCATTCATTGACCAGTATCCAACTTGTAAGTTGCAGGATACACCTAGATAATATCCAATGGACACTTCATTAAACTTTGGTTGTTCTTTTTGTGTGCTTTGTCACCTTTGATCTAACACTTATACTGCGTTTGGTACCTGACATTAGGTGTTAAGAATGGAATGGAATGGAATGGATATTCCATGGTAATATCCATTCTATTGTGTAGTTCCCCTTTCAAAGGAATATCTACTCCTACAAATCATAGGATTAGGCATTACCAAATCTATCATGGTATTTCTTATTGACTTATTTCCAGTTTGCGGGCTATCATTCATGCCCTTAACTCCTTCGATCTTCTTTTGATTTAAACTTGACAATTGATTGTGAAAATGATTAATTAATTTAAAATAATAAAAGAAACTTTTCTTACACGTGTCAAAATATCATTAAAAGAAAAATGAGACATGATGATATCAAAAAGTCATCATGATTGAATCCGTGTAGTACAACTCCAGAACCTTACATAGAGTATGCCTTATCTGACAAGCCCATTCAGGCTCAGCACAATGTCACAGTCAAGCTCTTTTCTGGGAAATAGAGAGATGTTCACACAACCATACATAAATACGAACACGTAGCAGGTTCGAGTTCAAGAATCAGTCTCTCCCACATGGGGAAAACATGTGAGCTCAAAAAGGTAGAATTTTTGGACCACGTGTAAAGCATAATCGAGAATTTAAATTTTATTTATTATAAATTGACATATAACGGTTACAATGCTTCGTCGAAAAGGACTTCCAGTAAGGCTTCATCCAAGCACAAAATGAGAAAGGGCCCATATTAAGGGCTAAAAATGGGTAGTGAACAATGCAATACAGCTAAATGGAGGAAAGCAATAGATAATACAAGGAACATAGGCGTTCAACAGCTCATAATCTCTAGCAATAATGTTGGCACTGATCATAAAACCTGGGCTTCATGACCACAGAATGAGCTGCTTGGGCTGATCTACTTTACTCTTTGCCATCTGCAGCACGAAGAGAGCCGAGTTGAACAGGAGCTTGTGTTCCAACAACTTTTGATGACCCGTAAATTGATAGATCAATGCCCTGAGCTTTTTCTTTCTCAATTTGTTCCTTGATCCAAAAGTATGTGAATCTCAGCCCATCCTACATGTATAGGAGATATGATCAGTGAGTCAGTATTTCTCTAGTAGTAAGTGGATTGACACAGCAGAGAGGCTAAAGTAAGCCAATCCAATACCTTCAATTTCATAGTAGGGGCCCAACCAAGCTTCTCCTTAATGAGAGTGTTGTCTGAGTTTCGACCACGAACACCCTCTGGACCAGGAATGTGATGGATGGGGAGATTCTTGTCCTCAAAGCTGAGGACAATCTCAGCCATCTCATTCATGCTTACCATCTCATCACTTCCAATATTCACTGGNTCACATCATTTGAGATATAAAATTTGATAAAAGATTTGGTGGACATAACATTTTCCTTAACAAACACACACAATCCATAGATACTACGCTACCAATGATACTTCAAATATAAACAAATGCAGCAAATGACTTAAAAATCAAAACAAAGCAATGATCCTCTTTCAAGTTACGCTCCTCTGCTGTATCTCAAGAATCACATCTTATGCTCCTCTTTCAAGTTATGATAATATTGGGAGTACCCATTTAACACCCCCCCTCCTCCATTTTCCCCCGGTGGGTTTTGGAAGGGGGGGGGGGGGGGGGGGGAGGAGGGTGAGATAGGGTTAGCATGACTGTCAAGAAGAATGCATAACTACCATAGGCAATAGAGTATATTTGACAGGCAATAATCTGTTGATAAGAGTGTGGCTGGAACCATTAAGTTTGTTGCTTTAAGCAAATATCATATGGAAATGAAGTCCTCGTTAATGTAAACAGTAAATTCCATTAAGAAAGTAATATGTAACAATATACTCACGTCCAATGATATTTATGTCCTCACTTTTGACAACACCCAAACAATATACATAGCCACCGCCCTGGGAGAGTATTATCACATTAGTAAACATCCCAAGAGAAAAGGAGAACGATATTAAAACGCAACAAATGAAACCTTACCTGAACACTAGTTACTATTATTGGATCGGTAATGTAGAATTGGGTTCCACCTTCCATAGTTAGATTGACATCTGGAACCGAAATCGTAGTTTGATTTGCACTGCATTCAGAGGATGAGTCAGTCCTTGAGGGTTCAATCAAAAAGTCACACAAACAAAAAATATTTTCCATATCAGATTGACCTTAAGTCATAGCAATATTCAAAAGGAAGACTGGAATCAGGTGGATGGCGTTTGTCTTTGGTTGCAGAATTGAACTGCATAATAGCCAGAAACATCCTTCTTATTAATACGAAGCACATGGTTAAACTGGAGATAAAATACCAATATTTACAGTCAGTATGACTTACTTTCTCTGATATAACTGTATAAATTGGGTCGTTCAAATAAGTAAACGAGGTGCCGGAGTCAAAGATTGCATTGAAATTGAGATCAGTGACATTTTTCTCCACGGTTATTTGTGTCACGCTGATATTGTATGTCGGACTGGTAGTGGGATTCAGAAAAATATATGAGAACAAATAGCACATCATTTTGCCAAAGCCATTAAGAGTTGATATTCTGCACTTAGTGAACGCCGAACGGCGTTATGCAAATAACAAGTGATAACCACTATAGTTGGTCCGTATTATTAAAGCAATAACTTACTGTAATTGGCCAATATTGAATGGTGTTTCTCCTTGGTCTGAGGTGCCTTTATCTCCAAAAACGATCCTCCCCAGTCCATCAGGCCCAAAACACATAGAGAAAGAATTTGCAGCAAGTCCTCGACTTGCTAAAACACTAGGAACAGATATAGCATCCATACCAAGCCCAAACAGACCATTGGGAGCTGCACCTTCCAAAAATGTGCCAGTTTGAATTATTCCACAGCTGAAATACAAGGAACACAATAAGTCATAAGGGCCAGTGGAGATAATAATTCTCTACCTAAACATAGGCCTGAAGAACAATAGATTAAAGTGGTACAATGTAAAAAAAATAATGACCAAACTCAAATCAAACGATAAGAGAACCGATCATTCTCAAATCAAATGATGGGTAAAATAATAAGTCCAAGAAATTTCAAGTTAGCATGATCAAAATTTTGAAACAAAACTGATCTCTCGCCATCATTCACTGCTCCTCCTCTTACCCTGACCCCCCTTGAAAGAAAATTATCTTGACTACGCGTCAATACCTTCACTAAGTGATGATGTTAGTCACAGGCAGCCAGACTGGTTTCCATTATGCTAGAAGCTTTTGACAAACACAATATCGGGATATAATACATACCCAAGTGTAATCTGTGCATCAACATCTTTTAATGGGCTATCATCTGTGATTAAGTGCAACGTATCCTCTACCAAGATCCCAGTAGACGAAGTATTACTGGAAAGATATACAACTTGATATGCACAAGCTTTCCTTGTCGTAGAGCACTGTCTTCTTTGTTGTCCACACATGGTGCTGTTGCAGGGAACTGTCATGCTCGTTGATGATGTATTAGGGCTGTAAATATTGAAGTCTATCTTCTGTTTTAAGAAAAGATTACAAGAGCTACTGGTCAATATAGCAGTTACAATTCAACAAACAATTGAATATCCTAAAATATCTTGTCATCTACAAACTTGCTAGTTGCTATCCAAGTTTTGCATATTAGTTCAAAAGAAGAAAAAGACCTAATGAACAATGTCAACAGCACTGCCATACATTGCTTAAGAGTTAAGGCTTATCAATTAATTTAGAACTTCACAACTGCACACATTGTCTGGTAAACTTTGAAATCTGATCAAGACAAGAAGCAGATATATTGAAAATGAAGTCTATACTTCGTCAAAAATCCATTTGATAGTCGACACATGAAAATTTTCAGTGACCTGTCCTTCCCCTGTTCTTGCAGAATATAAACTAATCAGAGAACTGAAAAGTCATCAGTAATAACCATTACAAAATGCGCTTTGTATTGGTCATGTCATATAATTTTCTTCAAAAGATTTCTCAAACATTGAGAAAACAAATGCAAAATCACTCAAACAATTTAAACATATTTTCTGAGATAGCAAAAGCTGAAAAAAAATCTGGCTCGAGTAACAAGCTCCTACACTTCAAATCATAAGTTAAGCCGATAATAAAAGATCATGAGAACAAGATTAGAGAAGTGCGGAGACATCGGCACAAGCTGGAAAGGTTAAAGCTCGTATTTTCTTTCAAACATGCATTTTTCATCTGAAGAAACTACAGAAGTCAAACAGATTAACGTACTTGTCCGGATCCCAGCACCAAGCCACGTACACAACTGGTACAATCACATGGTAACCAAAACAGGTCGCTGCCAGTGTCAAGTGCCACCAGATATGACAAACTTGGCGTGCCAACCGAGACATTCGCATAATGCAAACTGAAAATTCCCACAAAGATATTGAAGAAGCAGTTATTATTATATGAATCATAATAGAAAAACCAAGACCCAAACTGAAACCATCAATCAAAGAGTCATTTTTGTGACCTTTGGCTGGATTCATTGACTATCGAAACTGGAAAGGAAGGAAGGGAAAGAACAGGTTGAAAATATTAAAGCTTGATCTACTCCCCTAGTAAGTTCTCTCTCTCTCTCTCTCACACACACACACACACTTTTTTTTCTTAAATTTCTAAATATTTTCAGAATTTGCTTTTGCTACGCATATTTAATTATTTCTTGAATAAGAGTTTGATTATTACGAAATGTATTTCCCTTTGCCTTGCCATTTTCTTATCTTTTCTCAGACAACGAAACAGAGAGCACTCCAAAACTCACTGAATCTCCCAACAAATTCACCACTAGTATCACTCAATTCTCCTATAAACCAAAAAATCGAAATAAAGAACACAAAATCATCTATAATTAAACAATTAAATCAAGTAAAAAGGGCTAAGAAACCATACAATCCTAAACCACTGATTCGATAAGTGTCGTTGCCTCCATCGAAAGTGAGCGGTGATGAGTCAACGGTGTCGGCAAGCCGGCGACCACCGTGTCTCCGTATGAACTGATCACGATGAGCCATAGCTGAGTAGTACTCCATACTACCTTTCTCAGGCAATCCATCGAGGTCCAAAATTCCTTTCACCGGATCGGAGTACCTGTGGTGTACATCGAACCCAAACGTCCCAAACGCGTCGCCACACTGCGAACCCCAAACAACTATCAACACAACAATTAACAACAAACAATTACGGCGAATAGCCATTGGAATTGAGACAAATTTCTCGAGAATTCACAGAAATTCTCCGAAACGGTCTCTCTTTTATATCTAGATGTGTATGTGGTTAGGGAGAAGATCTATACATAAACTATTTATGCACATATAGAGAGAGAGAGAGTAAAGAAATTGGGGGGAGAGGACAGTAGGTGAGCNCTCCGAAACGGTCTCTCTTTTATATCTAGATGTGTATGTGGTTAGGGAGAAGATCTATACATAAACTATATATGCACATATAGAGAGAGAGAGAGTAAAGAAATTTGGGGGAGAGGACAGTAGGTGAGCGTTGACGCGTTCTCACCTGGAAGAGTTGGAGGGTCTTTGGTCGACGCTTTCGTCTTGTTTTCAAATTTGTTTCTGGCTTACAAAAGTCGACGGGTGGGTGAAAACGAAACCGTAGACTAATGTGTGTGTGCCAACTGGGGTATTGGCTAATTGGGAGGGAGGGGGATAGGGTAGTTATTCCGCATGATATACTCCTTGACTGAAGGTGTTACCTGTTAATGGAAGAGGAACTTTGAATTCTTGGTTTGTTCAAGTTTTGTTCAGTTTATTTTTTTTTTTTTTACATTCTACCCCTTTAAACTATTACCTTTTTCACTTTGTACTTTTAATTATAAATTTTTTCATATTGTACCTTAAAGTATTAATTTTATTTTATATCACTCTAGTTTATAACGAATGTCAATTTTTTGACGATAAATACACATGTGAGTGATTTGTACTTTTAATAAGCAACTACCTATTATATATGTGTTGGTCCAAAATCAAGAAAAAATACATATCCATGACTTTATTTTTCCTAAACTCTAAATTTTCTTTCTCTCGTCGATCTTCTTTTTCCTCCAAACAATTATTTGATTGCAAAAGAGATAAAATAAAGTGGTATTAAACATTTTATTTGGAGTTTTTGTCTCTCCTTTTAAAGTTTTTTAAGTTTGTCGTTGTCTATTAGAGTGATATGAAATAAAATTGATACTTGAGGATGTAATGTGAGAAATTTTATAGTTAAGAGTATAAAGTAAAACAAGAGAAATAATTTAGGAGGGTAAAGTATAATTTACTTTTATTTTTTGGTATTTTGAGTCCTTTAACGCGTGTTTTGTTAATTTCTCCTTTGATTTGATTAAACATAAACCATTTGTACTAGAATCAGAATTTGTGAGATATAAACTTTGAATGGTCTGCACCAAAACAATTTTTAAATTTCTAATTGACTTTCCAACATGCCTCCACTGGGTAGTCCTTAGAGTTAAGTTTCTTATTTCAAGATTGATTTTGACTGTATTTTTGCTCAAATTTAATTTAATTATTTGGTTGTGTGTTTTGATTCTACAATATTTATTTATTGAGATTGAATTCGAATTCACTTGACGATGTTATTATCATTAATCACGAATAATCTTGACTATTTTTAATCGATCACAACATATGTGATTGATCGGAGTTTTTTGAATTGTAACTTAATCTCTTATGAATTATAACTTAGATCCTCAAAAAATGATGACTTAGCATATAAACGTTGATACTTTAGTACGAAAACAAAGAAAATATCCTCGTGGTCCTAAAAGACCAAATTTTTCTAAGTGAAAGAGCCATCTCTTGGCAATTTGAATATTAAATGTACCTTTCATATTCAAAGAAAGGTACAGTTAATTTATCACCGTCAAATCAAATATAAAGTGACAAAATGGACAACCTACTTTTGTGCATTCTAGAAAAAATAGTCTTTCAAAGTCACATCCGAACGACACGTTACATGTGATTACTGGTGATACACAAAATAATTTTATGTAAAATTAATAATCGAGTGTNGTCACATCCGAACGACACGTTACATGTGATTACTGGTGATACACAAAATAATTTTATGTAAAATCAATAATCGAGTGTGATAAAATTTTATTAATAAAATAATTAATAACAAAAAAGTAAATATTTGGTCAACACACATATATATAGTGATTCGATCCAAATGACCTACTCTATTTTAAAAAACGGTAACGATGGACGGAGAGCCTTTATTAATGAATAAAGTAAGAGAGAGAAAGTTTCGGGAGAGGTACAATAGTTAGGACTTAGGAGAGAGAAAAATTATATGAGGGGTATCTAGAGAGGTGTAGAGATGTGTTCTCTCTTGTGGAGATGATTTACAATTTATAGGCATTGAGCCTTAATTGAGACGGTAATGTACAATAGTCTTTTGGGACGACAATTACAATAGGTAAGTGTAATTAAAAGTATTCTTGATCTTTGAGAGTGGATATCTCAATGATTACTCCTCATGTGCTCTAATCTTTTTGGATTTCTTTGAATTTGAGCTGGGTTGAATTGATGAACTGGACTTGACTTGCTTTGTGGTTGATTTGGGTTCCATTAATTGGTTGGGCCAGATCCATTAGGAATTGGGCTCGTCAATTACTTTGTCGGGTAAGATTACATTATCAAAATTGATATTGTGTCCCATTAATCTTAATCTGGATTATCATCAATTTTAAAGATGATGGTATGCAACTATTAATTAAAATGATAATAAAACTATAAAATAAAAAATTTTTTACATGTACACATTTACACATTTTTATTTGTTAAAAAATAGTGGTACGATTTCAATGAGACCCTTTGTATGTGTGTACATTATTAATATACATATGCTGTAAATTCAAATATCCTAAATTTGAATCTTGACAAATTTTTGGCGACAGACTATAATGAATTTTATCTTTTATAAATATTCTAGTTCCAATGTAGATGACTTATTTTTAATCGGACTGAAAAAGAGATTAATTGGGTACGTATAAGTTGGCCAAACATCTCTTATGGTTAAATTTTTATTTTTTTTGTTTGTATGTTTGTACATTATTGCTGAAATTTGGATTTTATGACGTGCCAACAATTTGAGTGCAGTTGGTTGACATAGAAGTAGCTGTATAACCGAATCGTAACGCCCCACTCTGCGTGGCCAAGTGCAGATAGCATAAAAAAGATTTTTTTTTTTTATACTCTGTTTGGTACAAATAAAAAATAGAAAGATAAAAAATTAAAAGATTGAAAAGTTAGGGGATAGATAAAATATTATATTTGATAAATAAAAAAAATAAAAATAATGAAAAAGTGAATGCATTAGTTTTCCTTTCAGCTCATTAAAATTAATCTTTCCAAAATAGAAAAAATGTTATTTGGACCTTATTGAGGGACTTAATGATGTATAACTATTGGATTGATTGTAAATTTCATCTAACATTGGAAGTTACAACTAATCTAATAGTTTTATTGAAGCCACATCATTAAGTTTCTAAATAAAGTTCCTATAACATCGCTGCTCCAAAATTGAGAGGAAAGTAAATAAAAAATTAATTATGTGTGTTGAAATATATGTTATTTGTCTATATATCATTTGATATATACATATATCATATATTACCAATCATATATTATGTATTTATATTTTTTCATCCTTCAATTTTTTTATTAATGTCAAATACAAAAAAATTAATCACTAAACGGAACATTAATTTTTTGGGACAAGAAATCTAAGGTTTTAAGTTGAACACTAATGTTATTGGGACATAATTTATGAACATAATTTTGGGATATAATGAATTGTCACTAATGAAATCATAGTGAAATATATTTAATGACGAGTCTCATTATAGTATTAAATGAATTCATAATCATTTCATTTGTGACAATTCATTATATCCTCAAATTATGTTCATAAATTATGTTCTAATAGCATTGTTCTAAGTTGAATTCATTGCTATGAAAGTAAATCTTAACACTAATGTTATTGAGATATAATTGAAGGACATAATGAGTTGTCACCAATGAAATGATACTCTCTCCGTTCCTAATTATCTGTCGTTTAAGATTTTTACACAGGGGTTAAAGAAGTTATTAAATAGCTCTAGTATCAGTAAAAAATAATTGCACAAGACTAAAATACTTTTATTCATTACGTATTGGGAATGAAATGAATATGAAAGACACTTAACCTACATTTAATTTATTAAGCACTTATTGAAAAACAGATATAAAAGTAAATTTGAAAGAAAAACTATTAATTATGTTTTGGTTTCATAAAACGACAGATGTTGTGGAACAAAAAATATTAAGTAAAACGACAGATATGTATGAACGGATAGAGTAGTAAAATGCATTTAATGATGAATCTTATTGTAACATTAATAAATTCATTATCATATCATTGATGACAACTCATTATGTCCTCAAATTATGTCTAAAAATTATGTCTCATTTATTAACAATAGATATCGATAAAATTTGATAATTACTAAGAACCAAAATTTTTTGTTGGTACATTGTTTCGTTCCCTTGAGAAACGAAAACGTTTAGACAAATTTCAAAAAAATTTTGACCAGTTTTAAAAATATAATGAAAAAAAATAAATAATTAATAATTATTTTTAAAAAAAATTGGTCGAAATATAGTAAATTATCTTGAAATATTTTAGAATATTATAAAATAATTGTGGAAATGTATTAAAATATTTAAAAAAACCTGAAAATATTATAAAACACCCTGACATATTTGAATTTCAATTTCATCACTGATTCTTTTCAATTTTTTTGGAAATGAAAATGTTTTGGACGTTTTGAAACGAAATTTTATTCTTTGAATTAATCACAAATTAAAAAAAAAATCAAAATCAAGTCATTCGATTTCATAAGTTTGACTCCAATGATTAAAATTTTATTTTAGTGTATTAAGAAAAATGTTTCGACACATTTCGAAAATAGAATGAACACGAATAAAAAAATTAAAAACTATTTTTTAAAAACATCGTTCAAAATATATCAAAGCATTCTAAAATACCTTGAAAATATTCCAAAACAATAGTGTAATTACTATATCGAAATATTACAAAATATCTTGAAACTTAATGAAACATTTCAAAATATTAAAATTTTGATTCAATCATCAATTAGTTTCGGTCTCTTTAAAAACGAAAAACTTTTCGATGGTTTTGATTGATTTAAAACAAAATTTTAAACTTTCGTCAACCGTAACTGACCACGCACACACCAGTGGCTGTTCGTCCGGGTTTAACAAAGAAGAAAGACTTGAGTTGGCAGGAGGAGTTGTCTTAACTTCCAAACAAAACAAATAATATTGGGTAATGTTATTTGGATTTTATTTGAGAATTTTATTTAATGATCTAATGGTGTATAATTATTGGATTAGTTGTGGGCTCCATCTTACATTATAACTCACAATTAATCTAATAATTATACTAAAATCACATCATTAAATCTCTAAATAAAATTCATGTAATATTGTTCTTTCAAACAAGAGTAATGTTAAATAGACTTAAAAACTAGACTTAAAACTTATACTTGATAGTTTCAACCATTGAATAGATAGTGAGTTCTAATAAATACTGAGATCCACAGTAAAATCAATTGTTGAAATTATCAAGTCTAATTTTTACGTCAAGTCTACGTAACATTACTCTTCAAAACAAATAATCAGGGGTGGCTGGCACAGGCCGTTGACATTCTTCTCATTTTGTTATACGTCGTCGTGTCTAATGGAAATACCAGCAGAAACTTCTTCGTTCACGTTTTTTGCGGGTCTTTCTATAATCTTTTTTTTGGCAAGTGGATCTTTCTATAATCTTACTATTACTAATAATGCTCATTTGGTTGTTTCCTTCGACAATATATAATATATATATATATATTATCAAGTACGACATATATTTTTTTTATTTAGAAGAATATTAAATATAACAGTGATATTACGTTATTATTATTATGCGGTGTCACCATCTGATAATAATTTAATTTGTAAATTAAGTAGACCCCACTTAATTTTGTAATTACCGTGTCCATGTTAGAAAATAGAAAAATATTATTTGAACTTCATTTGAGAATCTAATTTGGAGATTTAATTCAATATAATCATTTGATTAAAAGTGACTTTCGTCTAACATTAAAACTAATTCAATGACTACATTGAATAATGTCTCTCTGACCTTTCTCTCTTGCCATTAGTCATCCAAAGGGTCGGTCATTTCGGTTGAGAATGGGTCAATCAACTGTCCTCAATCAATCTAGTAATATTTTTGGTGTCGAAAGAACCAACTTATATAAAGAAGTGAGACTTATTTTGTCTATTTGTAAATTTGCTATTAGACGATGATATCCCATATTAATGGTGATATACTCTCATCGTTACGCCAAATATTTACTTCTCTTGTGTGTGTGGCTTGGGGGGTGGGGGGAGGGTTTGGAATGTGGAGAGATAATTGAGGAGGACAGCTAGAAAGAATAAAAGAAAGATACTTAAATAGAAATTGGATGAATTAAGGAAGGTATTCTTAAGATATGTATTTGGTTTCAATTTTTTACGTTCCATTTGAGTTTTTGAACATTGCTCTTATATGTTTAGTCCATAAATAGAGTGTTTTTCTGTATAAACAACCCAGTTTTTGGAATACATCAATCTTGGAGGACATCAAAATAAACTGAAAAAAATTGATTAAAGAAATTTTTGTAGACATTAAACAAGAAAGACCCAGCTTTACATGGCTCTCATGAAGGGGTTTTTCAGCACAGCTAGTTGGCCAATGTCTGCTCTAGTCAATGTAATTTTTTTATAAAACATTTTAATTGAATATTGTGTCACATACGATTTTTGAAATGAAACTCACTACATTTTAATAGGCTTACATCAACACGCCATGAGTTATCTACTGTTTAAAAAAAAATATTTGCATACCATAAACAGATGAGTTTGATTTAAGATAGGCATCGCTAGGTTAGCTCATTTCCTTTTGTCTCCTTGAATCTTTAGGAAAGGAACCATTAATCAGAACTTTCCTAATGGGCTGTTTAGTAAACCTCAACATCTGCTTACGATACCAAACAATTCTGCTTTATTGTTTAGTTTAAAGACAATTAAGCATTTTGCCATGCCTCAATCGGTTGTCGTGTGTTCTACAGGGTACATTAGCACAAACACCACTATTCCCACTCGAGTTTGTGATGGCTTACAGTGCCTACCACAGGAGCCATCAACATTATAACCTAAAGTTAATCATCCAAGTGTTACGGAACTTCTAATGCCACGAGGAATATTCCAAAATGGACTCAAGCTGAAAACGATAATAAAACAAGCATGTATAATTTCATTTCCATACGGCATCCAAATGTTTGCATACATGTTGTAGACTGTTTCGTACCTTCAAATTAGAATTTATGAGAAATAACAGGTTACATCAAGTACCCAAAAAAAAAGGGCAGAAGAGAACTGAAGTGGTTCAATGACAGCTTTTCATGTGTGTGTATTTACTCCATATATCTACACCCAGGACCAAATATAATCTGGGATACAAATGGGCTAAAGGAAAAGCAGAATTTCCCATTGGACGAGATGTGCAGGCNCAAATGGGCCAAAGGAAAAGCAAAATTTCCCATTGGACAAGATGTGCAGGGTGGGTTTACAGCAGAATGTGGCACAACTGTGTAACCTAAAAACTAGTATGACATGGAACTGTACAGGGTCAGCTAAAAGGACCAGAGAAAGGCTATAATAATAGGAAGAATAAGAAGATAAATCTGAAGCTGGAAACAATCATAGAAAAAGCATGCCTGCCATAAAATGGTGATGCAAATGTGCTCCGAGCAGTATTCTTGGTCTCTTCTGATTTTGGAGTAGAGTAGTTGCCTAGTCCAACAGCTGACAGCAGGAGGCACATTAGTAGAGTTCTGCGATTCTTATTGGAAAGTGCTGTGGTCATCAATGTCATAACCTGGATGACAGCCATGGCGTTCAGTGATAAATTGAATAGAATCCGTTGTACATAAGCATGGAGGCTTTATTGCTTCGATGAAAACAACACTCACAATCAAAATTTCTTCCAACCAAGGACGAGTTTTTCTCGGTCAAATACAATGCGGTAACCCGTCATAAAATTTTCTGCATGATGATCAATAACCGCAGTCTCAACAATCATATATTCATACATAAATAAGTCCGCAAAAAGTGGATGCGTCATTAGTTCAGTTTTGTTCTTGCTTTGGGATCAAGAAAGGCCTTGTCCACCAGCCATCACTTATTTTTGGCAATGGAAAGCTTGGTTGTAAATTGTCAAACAGGGATATAAAGATACCAATGTTATAAGTCAGTCCTTTGTTTATGTTTTTTGATGTTTTGGGTATGTCATCTATAACACCTCAATGCATCAACCTCACCAAGGTCCTTAGTCACTTCATCCTAGTTAAGTAATTGAACATAAGCATTTTTCTATTAGAAGTTAAAGCACACTACCACTTCCACCAACAAGCTTCAGAGATACAAAGTAACCATAAGTCGATCAAATCTATAAGCAAGCTTCTGGCCACGACCAAGTCGCTCCTCAATATCTTCACAAGGAACCAAATTTATTTCGGTGCATTGTTTCCGTAATTGGAGAAATGGTAACGTTTCGGTAGCAATTCATAAATTCAATGGTAATAGAGAAAAATTTGACAATCTATTTCCGAAACATTCTAAGAATTGGTTGAAACAACATGAAATATGGAAATTTTGATCCTCAATTACCGATTCATTTGGCTTCCATGAAAACGGAAAAGTTTTGANATTGGAGAAATGGTAACGTTTCGATAGCAATTCATAAATTCAATGGTAATAGAGAAAAATTTGACAATCTATTTCCGAAACATTCTAAGAATTGGTTGAAACAACACGAAATATGGAAATTTTGATCCTCAATTACCGATTCATTTGGCTTCCATGAAAACGGAAAAGTTTTGGNACCAAGGACGAGTTTTTCTCGGTCAAATACAATGCGGTAACCCGTCATAAAATTTTCTGCATGATGATCAATAACCGCAGTCTCAGCAATCATATATTCATACATAAATAAGTCCGCAAAAAGTGGATGCGTCATTAGTTCAGTTTTGTTCTTGCTTTGGGATCAAGAAAGGCCTTGTCCACCAGCCATCACTTATTTTTGGCAATGGAAAGCTTGGTTGTAAATTGTCAAACAGGGATATAAAGATACCAATGTTATAAGTCAGTCCTTTGTTTATGTTTTTTGATGTTTTGGGTATGTCATCTATAACACCTCAATGCATCAACCTCACCAAGGTCCTTAGTCACTTCATCCTAGTTAAGTAATTGAACATAAGCATTTTTCTATTAGAAGTTAAAGCACACTACCACTTCCACCAACAAGCTTCAGAGATACAAAGTAACCATAAGTCGATCAAATCTATAAGCAAGCTTCTGGCCACGACCAAGTCGCTCCTCAATATCTTCACAAGGAACCAAATTTATTTCGGTGCATTGTTTCCGTAATTGGAGAAATGGTAACGTTTCGGNGCTTCAGAGATACAAAGTAACCATAAGTCGATCAAATCTATAAGCAAGCTTCTGGCCACGACCAAGTCGCTCCTCAATATTTCCACAAGGAACCAAATTTATTTCGGTGCATTGTTTCCGTAATCGGAGAAATGGTAACGTTTCGATAGCAATTCATAAATTCAATGGTAATAGAGAAAAATTTGACAATCTATTTCCGAAACATTCTAAGAATTGGTTGAAACAACATGAAATATGGAAATTTTGATCCTCAATTACCGATTCATTTGGCTTCCATGAAAACGGAAAAGTTTTGACTATTTTTTGAAACAAAATTTTGATCCTTGTGTTTCTAGAATTGATATTTTTGAGAAGTATCTAAATTGAGACAAAAAAAAAATGGTGCTTAAAAGAATAAAATAGCGAAACATGATTCATGTAGTTGACTCCAAAAATATTGAGACAAAGATTTGTTATGTTAAGATGAGTTTATCTCAATTGAAGGGAAACATTATTGACTTCATAGGCAAACAATATCCAACAATTACGTAGGGTTAAGTAAACTAGTTTAGGCATCGTTTGATTGCGGTATCTAAAAGCGCAAATTTAGATGTTTCACATTTTATTATAAAATTTGCTGATGAATTCATGGGACATCAACTGAAGTTTGTTGTCCACGCATGCATGCACTTGCATTTGGGGTTTAAATTACTAATTCCATTTTCTCTCTTGTATTTTGTGACTAGTCATGGCATATAAGGAACATAGAGTGCGTTACTTCCAATCAGAAGACTTACGTCCAATTATATTCAGTTCTTGACTCTTGACGACAGCTAGGCAATATACAAGATCATGCTTCAAAAAATGCATGCCATAAAAAGTTAGTATAATATCGGCTAAACAATAAAAAGAAGCAACTGCATCAGGAGGAAGACTCTACCTGCACGGAGATGACAATTATTGGATCATAAACGGCAAATTGGCCTCCTCCTTTCATAGATAGACTCATACTAGGAATCAAACTAGTATTTGCATCAGGACTGCCCATTATAAACATTATAAAGACAAAAGGGCAGTCAGCTTTAGGGGGTTAGTCACTGGAAGGAACTAATGATATAGTTTAGAGTGGTGACCTCATATCATAACAATATTCGAAAGGGATCCTTGGATCAGGTGTCCTCCGCTTATCTTGGGCTTGTGAATGGAACTGCAGAAGAACCAAAGGTGATGATGACTTAAAGGGGTGTCCATTGGGGAAAACAATTAGAATTAATCTGTGTCATCTTGATGCTTACACTCTCTGAAAGACTTCTATAGGGAGGGTCAACCAGATATGTGAAGGAGGTCCCAGAGTCAAAAAGAGCTGTGAAATCCGAGTCAATGAGAGTAGTCCCCATTATAGACATGAAAAAAAATAAAGACACTCATGAGCATCATTACTAATTCAGACTTGTAAAGTCACCCCTTTCCAGAAATCTGGTAGTGGCTTTTATGAACATCATATATAACTTTAAACTCCTTTTTCAATCTAGATAGATACTGATATCAGTGTAATTGAAACTTTTTTCCCTGGTTACATGGCTGATAGCTTCAAAATTGGATTTCTTGGTAGATTAAAAATTCATTATCCAATTGACAATTTGACTCAGGCTTACTAGGTACTTAGATTCTCAGATTCACTGTTCTTACCTAAACTACAATTCAAATCCATTTTGTCCACATATTGATATTTGAATCTTTTTCCGGTCAATTCAAAGTTCCACACTGTCAAGGGAATATATTGTTCGAACATATGCTACGGGTTATGAAGACCAATACTCATATTTATCTAGAATTTGTACATTGGTGCAGGACAGATGACTAATACCAAAGTTTTTCAAGGAAACTCTAACCGCAGGAAGGAAGAAGTACAACACCGATTGTCATAACCTTCGGCACAAAAATTACTATTCTGTACAATTTGAGATCGCTTTAGAAATTCTTTCCCGATATCATCATCAATTATTTCAATTTTGCAAACTCCTTTAACTAGATGAATTTTGTAATGTATACNTCAGGCTTACTAGGTACTTAGATTCTCAGATTCACTGTTCTTACCTAAACTACAATTCAAATCCATTTTGTCCACATATTGATATTTGAATCTTTTTCCGGTCAATTCAAAGTTCCACATTGTCAAGGGAATATATTGTTCAAACATATGCTACGGGTTATGAAGACCAATACTCATATTTATCTAGAATTTGTACATTGGTGCAGGACAGATGACTAATACCAAAGTTTTTCAAGGAAACTCTAACCGCAGGAAGGAAGAAGTACAACACCGATTGTCATAACCTTCGGCACAAAAATTACTATTCTGTACAATTTGAGATCGCTTTAGAAATTCTTTCCCGATATCATCGTCAATTATTTCAATTTTGCAAACTCCTTTAACTAGATGAATTTTGTAATGTATATAAATTATCTCCACTCTATTCACTGTAACAGACCCCACAGTCCAGAAGAATGGAAAAATAAAAAATAAAAAATAAAAGAAAGATAAGCAGCTAAACTAATAACACACATTGCAACATTGTTTACATCACAATCTGCGGGGAATCCATAAAGCTTGGTGCTATTTCATTAGCTACACATTTTCATAAATATAGACAAAACCAATACATGCTCACCTCATAATCTGACCATTCACTAGCTAAGAATCACAGGTGGGCACCTTTCCGTCACAAATATATCTCAGAAAAATAAGATTAATTCCAATTAAAAGATACAATATGGAAAATGCATAAGGAAACACAACACATAATGTGGGTCAGACACAACACACTGAGGATGTGTGTGGGCAATAAAAATATTACTCATGGAAACGCAAATTCAGTACGTCATAATCTTGATATGATGCAATCCAGATGACAAAAGATACGATGCAATTTAAAAGAATTATCTGAGATATTTCAATGAATGTTAGTGTCAGAAATGTGACAACAATAATAATGTTCATTCCAACTCAATTGTTTAGATGACACCTCACAACTGTTTAGCCAAGAATCTGCCAACTAATTCAAGCAACTAAAATTTTTTTCCATAAAAAAATAATGAAGCAATACCAGTAGAATGATCAATTTGTTCTCTATCCTGGACTTTAACTTAATTTATAACCAGGCTCATCCATTTGAGCTCTTCAACAATTCATTATCATGACAAATGAACTGATTTCAACTAGTCAATTAATGAATTCTAAACGGCCTTTTTTATCACCCTTCCAACTGAAAATCTCTAAACCACAAGCCAGAAGTCATACTCATGGCCATCCACAGTAAAGACAGTAATTACTAGCAAATAGTGCCATCTTTCCTAACTTCCACGACTAATTTTTTCCAAGATTTCAGACATGGGAGTTACTGACTAGAAATTGCCAGTGTTGCACAGGTCCCACCGGGTTTTGGGGGGCTGTCATACTGAGTGATGCGTTTTTCTTACTTAATTCAAAATAAGGTGAAAAAATAAATAAACAATAATCCCAACAGGCGACGAAACAAGGGGCATTATAGTGATACAAAAAGGAATGACATACCTTAGTGGTCGTCTGATAAATACAACATCCGAATTGAGTGATCAGTTGTTTAAATTATAAAGTTTTCAAAATTTAGGCCATCAAAATTCATATAAATCTTATGCCTTCTCAATCTTCTAAAGGAAATATATTCAAGTGTTTGCAAGCGCCCATATATTCAGATATTCCAAAATCTTCCACTTCGAAAGAAAATTAAGAATCCCGAATCTGTGTCAATCAATTTCATAGGCCACCTCCATAAGTTCTATAATTGTAGATGGTCAACATACGGATGCAAACTATAATAATTTCTATTCATGCCAGCGNATTTCATAGGCCACCTCCATAAGTTCTATAATTGTAGATGGTCAACATACGGATGCAAACTATAATAATTTCAATTCATGCCAGCGAGTACGCAATTGCCCTTCTGAACCCAGCATTTCCTATAACTATTACAATCACCCACCCCACAGACATAAGATTCCAAAATATTGCAAGTCACTAAACAGGCTGAAGCGGCAAAGCTTATGCTCCAGCACCGCGTATCAATCAAAATTGGCAAGTTTGTCATAGCTTGACATAAAATTAATTAACAGAAACAGTTTAAGCAGATACTAGAGAGCAATCGAAAGGTTTTGAGTAGACCGAGAACCCAAAGTCCCCCGAACCAGAACTACAAGCAGAAAACAAGTAAAACAACGAAAAACCAAAAGTAAAAAAATCGAAATCACCTCTGTCTCCGATTCTGCAGAGCTTGGGAATGATAGAGAGTTTACGATCCTTTGACTCGAGAGAAGAATGAGTAGAAGAACAAGAATAAGATAATGCTACTGAAAATACAGAGCCTCAAGATGAGGAAAAAGAAGAAGAAGAAGATGCCGATGGCGATAGCGATAGCGATGTCAATAATGACGGAGTGATAATAGATTTCCTGTGAGAAATTGACGTTTCGACGGGAACGGCTAGTAGATAGTGAGCAAAGGCCATGGACGAACTGAGACTCAACCCTATCTCTCTCTCTGATTAGTTTGGGGTGGGTTCGAGAAGCAGCGAGAATGGGCAGTATAATTAAAGGGATTATGGACTAGAAGACGATGGGCTCAAAGTGTAATTTCCTAACAAATTTTTNACGTTTCGACGGGAACGGCTAGTAGATAGTGAGCAAAGGCCATGGACGAACTGAGACTCAACCCTATCTCTCTCTCTGATTAGTTTGGGGTGGGTTCGAGAAGCAGCGAGAATGGGCAGTATAATTAAAGGGAGTATGGACTAGAAGACGATGGGCTCAAAGTGTAATTTCCTAACAAATTTTTTGTTTACTAGGCTTCCATAAATTTTTCAGAATAGTATTTAAACTTCTAAAGACTAACGATATAATCTTACTTTAAACTATTATCGATGGGTATATATCAATAGGTATATATGTCAAATGATGAAGTTAGAAATAGGAGTTGATCGTTGCATTGTTCTTTGATCTAGGTGGTGATTATTTTGAGTTTGGAAAAAAGGATTTTAAGTTAGAGTTCAGGAATCAAGACGAATAGTTTATTAATTTTTTGAGACGATATTTTATATTAACCATGTGGGTTCTTGTATGTGAATATTTCATATATATAATATATATATTGATGTTTGGTGTCGTAATTAAATATTTTATAAATGTGAATTGTTATACATATAAAATTTGAAAACTTGTGGGATAATTTTGTATTATTGTTTAAATGTTCTTTGGTAATGAAAGAAAAATTTTGTGTGCGTTGAAACTAAAATAACAGTTTTTGTGTGTGTTAAAATCATGTTTTATGCGAAGGGAAGACTGGATTACCAGCCCTAAATGGTAACAAGATTGAAAATATACCAGTGCGATCAATATAGGGATGTGCATATAGGAGTTAGTCATCAGGCTAATGGTGAAAAGAGACGAGACTAGTATACCGGGTGAGATTGATTTTTATGTATTCATGTAAATGTTATAACATTAATNTTTAAACTATTATCGATGGGTATATATCAATAGGTATATATGTCAAATGATGAAGTTTGAAATAAGAGTTGATCGTTGCATTGTTCTTTGATCTAGGTGGTGATTATTTTGAGTTTGGAAAAAAGGATTTTAAGTTAGAGTTCGGGAATCAAGACGAATAGTTTATTATTTTTTTTGAGACGATATTTTATATTAACCATGTGGGTTCTTGTATGTGAATATTTCATATATATGATATATATATTGATGTTTGGTGTCGCAATTAAATATTTTATAATTGTGAATTGTTATACATATAAAATTTGAAAACTTGTGGAATAATTTTGTATTATTGTTTAAATGTTCTTTGGTGATGAAAGAAAAATTTTGTGTGCGTTGAAACTAAAATAACAGTTTTTGTGTGTGTTAAAATCATGTTTTATGCGAAGAGAAGACTAGATTACCATCCCTAAATGGTAACGAGATTAAAAATATACCAGTGCGATCAATATAGGGATGTGCATATAGGAGTTAGTCATCAGGCTAATGGTGAAAAGATATGAGACTAGTATACCGGGTGAGATTAATTTTTATGTATTCATGTAAATGTTATAACATTAATGATCTAATTAAATAATTCATTAAGAATAAAAATACATTGTTATACCATTATTTGAACCCCCCCTCCCCCCCCCCCAACCCCAAAAGAGAAAATCCGGTTCGTGTATTAGCATTGACATTCAGAAAACAAATTCTTTATTCATTCTCCTATTTATCAAGCAGAGAGATGCGGAGAAACAGTAGTATATTTACAACTCAGGTTGGAATCAATGCTGAAAGTACTAATAAATAGGATGCACGCAATGGCTCAAATATTGTGTGTAATACACCTCATATTAATAAAAATATATATAATGAAGAAAAAAAAAACCTTACGAGGAAAGAATGATCAAATAGTGGGTCGAAAGAGAAAAAAGAACCAACAGAAGTGTGTAAACAAAGGAATTCAAGCGGGGCGAATGGTTCCCTGCAGATGGTGGTGGCGGTGTTGAACTAGGGAAAGGGGAGCCATTCCCAATTCCTGATGTGGCTTCTGGATTCATGGTGGCATCGGGAGGACCTGCAGGGGAGCTTAGCGGGCTTACCGGTAGAGTATTGGAAGTTTTGGCATCATAACCTGGATACAACAAATCCCGACTCACTTAAGAGAGATAGAGTTTCAAAAATCAAATTAATAATGAAGAAACAATACTCACAGTCAGAAGCCCTCCAACCCAAAACCATCTTCTCACGATCAAAAACTATACGGTAACCGGTCATAAAGTTCTCTGGATAAAAACAAAACAACAGATATTATCAGGAAGGAGTCGATTGGTATTTAATGTTATATCCACCAAATTTTTTATCCCAAGATTAATATGAATTATAGGATCAGTAGGTCCCACAAGTTCTCACTATCTATCTTATAACTCTCAATTTGTCACATTATTTGAGATATAAAATTTAGTAAAAGACTTGGTAGTAGACATAACATTTTCCTTAATGAACGCTCACAATGCATAGATACTATGCTACCAATGATACTTCAGATATAAGCAAATACAGCAAATGACTTAAAAATCAAAACAAAGCAATGATCCTCTTTCAAGTTATGCTCCTCTGCTGTATCTCAAGATCAAATCTTATCAACGATAAGAGATCTTCCATGGCAATATAATATCGGGAGTACCCGTTTTAACACCCCCCTTCCCCAGTGGGGGGTTTATTTTTTTTTCAAGGGAGAGGAGGGGGGGGGGGGGGGGAGGAGAGAATTTTTATATATACACACACGGTTGATCAATTAGTTGTCGTGGTTCACTGCTTGGAGAAGAACGAAAAAGGAAAATGAATGTCAATCAATTTATTCCGGCAAAAACTTCAATGGGAAAATTGTTAAACTTAAAACCTAAGAGAATTAATTACAACATGACCTAAACTTGAACAGGGCATTTTGTAATTAACCCTAAAATATTTTTCATGCACTGGTTGCGTGCAAATTGATCAGTGTGGATAATTTGGAGCAATTCAGTGACCTGTGTCTCAACCTGACAGGCGTTGCTACTTGGTATGTCTTGTGCGACTCCACCAACATGCTTATAACGCAAGCTCAAACAATGTGGACAGTTTTTGGATTTGATCTTTAAGAACCCAACAATATTCTTTTATTGGAGTAGGTACTAAAAACCCGATGGAATTAACAGTACTCGTCTGATTTCATCCAGTTGTGAGCGGTGATTGCTAATGTTTCCATTCATTCAGTGGCACGGTGGTTATTGTATTGAACAACCAAATTCATGGGCATTGATAGTTCATGTTTGGTGGTACTTCAACGGTGATGGCTTCCCAGGTTCCACTAATAAATTAGGAAAATAATTGTTGAGTTGAGATGCATGCATGTATGTATGTATTATTATTAGATATAACTAAAAGTCAAGCATATATAATTATAAAGCCTCCCCCATATAAAATGATCGATTAGCCAAGCATATATAATTATAACCATATATATATGGCCCAATATTAAGTCCTCACTGGTAATTTTTACAATTTTAAGGACACATGCATCATTGCTCAAAATAAAGTAAAGAACACTTCCTATTTGCTACANGAAAGGTTAAAGCTCGTATTTTCTTTCAAACATGCATTTTTCATCTGAAGAAACTACAGAAGTCAAACAGATTAACGTACTTGTCCGGATCCCAGCACCAAGCCACGTACACAACTGGTACAATCACATGGTAACCAAAACAGGTCGCTGCCAGTGTCAAGTGCCACCAGATATGACAAACTTGGCGTGCCAACCGAGACATTCGCATAATGCAAACTGAAAATTCCCACAACGATATTGAAGAAGCAGTTATTATTATATGAATCATAATAGAAAAACCAAGACCCAAACTGAAACCATCAATAAAAGAGTCATTTTTGTGACCCTTGGCTGGATTCATTGACTATCCAAACTGGAATGCTCTATTTGGTAGGAAAGATGAAAAGTAGGAGAAATACACTTTTTATCTTTAAAGAAGAAAAATAGGAATGATACACTTTCTTTCCTTTGGATTTGATAGAATGGATGAAAAAAAAAAAATGCTTATTATTATTATTAATTTTTTTTTGTGTTTGCTAAAATTAGTGATGACAATCGAGTCATGTCATGTTAGGTTCGTGTCGAGTTATTGCGGATTCGTGTTGAACATTAGGTAAACATAACTCAACTCATTTAGCTAATCGTATCGTGTTGAATTGACCTGTTTATTTTCGTGTCGTGTTCGTTTTTATATTTGTGTTGACTCACATAAACTTTGAATAAAAAATTTAACGCTAATATTCTATTTTTACTCAATTGAATCTATACTCATATTTTTTTTACAAACTAAAAATTAACTTAAATAAATATAATAATAATAATAGGTAAAAATATATTCTTTATATAATAATTATGTCAATTCTCAATAAATATTTGTTAAAAAAAAAATGCTTAATAAATAGTTACATATAGTTAATATTTTATGTATATAATATTAATTAAACATGTTAATTTTGTGTTACCATATAAACGAGAAAATAAAGAAAGTGTTTATTTTTAAATAAACGGTTGATAGAGTCAATTTTGAGTTTGACGGGTTGAACTGAATATGAACCGTTTATATTTCGTGTTCGTGTGTCAGATTATTTTCGAGTTTGAGTCATAAAATTCATGGGGAGTTTGAGTCGTGTTATCGTATTGAGTCGAAATTTCTACCCCTAGATAAGATGGAAACAAATTTTTTAAAATTTTAAAAAAAAAAAATATAAATACATATTTTATCATTGTATTTATATATGAAATGAATATATATATATATATATATATATATATATCAAAAGATATATGGACAAATAAGATATATTTCAACACAAATAATTAACTTTCCTTCTGATTTTAGGGGGATTGATTTTGATGAGTTGGAAGGAAAATTCATCCATCCACTTTTTCATCCTTCCTATTTTTTTCCTTACCAAACATGATGTTTTATTTATTCCTCCAACTTTTCATCTTTTCAATTTTCTATCCTTTCATTTTTTCATCATACCAAACAGAGCACAAAGGAAGGAAGGGAAATGACAGGTTGAAAATATTAAAGATTGATCTACTCTCCTAGTAAGTTCTCTCTCTCTCTCTCTCTCTCACACACACACACACACTTTTTTCTTAAATTTCTAAATATTTTCAGAATTTGCCTTGTTACGTGATGATGCATAAAATTGGTTTGTACACCACTTGTCAATTAAGTAAAATAAAATGCAATAAAATTGAGAGGAAGAAGACCAAGTTTATAGTAGTTTGGTCAAGGTGACCTACGTCCACTTGGAATGGCAAGGGTCGCCGGGATTTTATTAACTCAGGTGCAATGAGAGAATAGGAGAAGCTTTTAGAGAGGAGAGAATTGTGCTCAAAATGAGTGAGATGCCCCCCAAGTATTGGTGGAGCTTACATTTTATAGTCGCCTCATAATGGATACTAATTAAATAGCTAATCAAGCGATCATAACGGATTGGGGCTGTTTAATAGTCATAACGAATTGGGGTGACTTTAACAGTGATTAAATAACTTGGTGACCTCTGCTCTCCTCAATGGGCAAGGAAATTTATGATGCTCTCCAAAAGACTTGGTCAAAGGATGAGAAAAGATTGACTCTCTCCAAGCGACGAGGGTGTGGCTCTTGGACGTTCCCTTGGTAGTGTAGAGGAGGCTCTTGGATGACCCCTACTCCAAGGTGGTAGAGGCGACTCCCAGATGACCTTGCATGCTCCCTATTGATGTAGGTCGTTGAGCTTGATGAGTTTGACTAGATTGATCAAATTGGGCTAGACTTAGTGGACCCCTTGGAGTTGGGCCTTAAAACTCGGACCGAGCTTATCACATGAGTTGGACTCTTGGACTTGACCCATCATTTGCCCTCCAATGCCCTGCGTCTAATGGAACTTGGAAAGGAGGACATTCAGGTTGAGTTTGAACTTTCGACAAATCGACATAACTGAAAGAACTTCAGGAGGCCAAAAAATCTCATTACCTATGGTAATGAGATTTGCTCAGCTTGTTGAGGGCATTGATTTTGATATATAATAAGCTCCATTTAGAGTTGCAATCAAAATAGCCCTTTTTTAAATCTGATTTTTTTAAAAAAAAAAAACTTCTCTTGATCAGCGACCCCATCTCCTCCATTAGACTCTTTTTGCTTGTAGGACCCTATCAACTTTATAAACTCCTTCCTTCCCTTCCTTTTTTGGATTCTTGAAAAGCCCTAAGTTGCAATTTGGGGCTTTTGGATTTTTGCTTCTCCAAGAAGATTTTAAAACCCTAGGTTATAAATAGTAGCTTTCTTCTTCATTCCACCCACTTCATTCATTCTTGAGAGAGGAAGAGAGCTTTTTCTTGAAATCTTTCAAGAACCCATTTCTGAGACTTCCGAATTGAGCATTTTGAACAATGGTAGCTAGTGGTGAGGATGTTCAAAGTTTTGCAAATCTCAGTAAGGAACTTAAGAGAGTTGGCGTTGTCCTTGGAGGGGAGATGGAGGCGCAAGGCCTGAGAAAGGTGGAGCTGCCGTGGGACACCTCCGCTTGGCGCGCAGCTGCCGTGCGCGAAATGGGGGTGCTGGGTGCTTACTTGGGTGCTAATTTAGTCAACATGGGCGAGCAGGAGATGAGGAGAGCTAATTTCGGTGCTGAGTAGGATGTTTTGGGCGAGCAGGGTACTGATTTCGGCGCCAATCTGGGTGTTGAGGCTGCTGTCTGCGTGTTACTGAATGCGAGGGAGACAGATCTGGGCGAGTAGGAGGGGTAGACAGCTTTGGGCGAGCAGCCTACTGCACTGGGCAGCCTAGGCAAGTTGCCTGCTGCGCTGGGCAGCCTGGGCGAGCAGCCTGTTCATGTGGAGGCAGTCAGTTTAGGCGTCCAGGCTGCATTAATCTCCTTTGGGCGATCAGATCATGGCGTGTAGGCTGTCGGATATACTGTGGGAGACCATCCAAGTGATCTAATTTGTGCCCATGGTCCAGCTCTTTCAAGCGTAGCTTCTCAAAATCATACTCCTAGAGACCTTTCTGGCAACGACTCGGACTGAGCTTTACGCCCTCGTGCCAAGAAGCATTGAGACAAGGTAGCTCTCGATGATGATGGGTCCAAAGTAAGTACTATCTCCAGCACTTTAAATTCAGACGTTGATATTTTACGGATTGTCTCCACCCATCACATTCTTCTGATTGTGCTATGTCGTCGAGCCGAGATGAGTGAGCCTGCCTCTGATGACTCCTCTGGCGACATTGCCATCTATGAGGAGATGCTGGAGGCTGGAATCAGGTTTCCAATATCTCCTTCTATTTGTAGTATTCTTCATTACTTTTCACTTATCCCAGGGTGATTGTCACCTAACGGTTTGAGAGTTTTGCTGGGTTTCTTAGTACTATGGAGGAAAGTGCATCATGAAGATGCCTCCTCTGTTGAATTTCATGCAGCTTATAACTTGAGTGAGAATTCTGCTCCAAATAGAGGATGGTATTATTTTACCACAAGAGGTGGTAAGTTGCTTATGGGATTACCCTCCAATTACCACAGCTGGAAATCTCGTTTCTTATTCGTCGACGAAGAGTGAGCTGCAGAGGCCGATAGGGTTTTGATACCA